TTGTATATGTTTTAATTGTTTTCTCTCTCTACCCATTAAAGATTCCAGTGCTGAATATTCAAATGAAAATTTTTCCTGCACTTTGTACTGTAGCAGGGACCATATTTTCCTGTACAAATTACTTCCGTGTAATCTTCACAGGTGGTGTTGGCAAAAATGGATCAACAATAGCAGTAAGTATGCCTTAAGATTTTCAACACTTGTTTACACTAGGACTTGGTTTTGTTGTCATTTTGTTTTTTATTTCAAATGTATAAAATCATTTGTTAATTTATAATTTATACACAGCCTTTAAAGAAACTAATGTTCAAAACTTCAATTTTATATATACTTACCCACATTTATATGCTTTATACAGTCATAGTTTTATGCATACACACACACACACACATACTTATTCACATGTTTTTTAAAGTATGAGCTGCTTTGTAAAAATAAGCCTGGTCTCTCAAGTGAAATCTTCAGTTTGTACCTAATCAATTTATGCTGCTACTTTTCATTAGCTCTTCTAGTTTGTGGTTTATAGAAATTGCTGCCTATCAGGTGCGGTGAGGTTCCTGAAAGTTTGAGTTGAACTGTTCTGGAGCAGATCCATGCAGTATCTGATGAGTACTGAATACTATTAACTCTTCTCTTCACTCTGTACAGGGAACAAGTGTCCTTTCTCCTTTTCTCCATATTGGATCAGTGATTACATTAGCTGCAATGATCTACAAGAAATCCGCAGTTCAGCTTTTTGAAAAGCATCCCTGTCTTTATATACTGACATTTGGTTTTGTGTCTGCTAAAATCACTAATAAGCTTGTGGTAAGCACCTGAGTTTTTATTTGTTTTGTTTTTCACTTTTATCTTATTTTGGTTTTATGGCCATAGTTTTCATTCTGTGCTTCCTAAATGGTCCTAGAGTTTGCCCTCCTCTAATCAGAATCTCTTGATATCAACATGGGAACTATTTTTACCCTTTGTGAAGCTACAATTTGAAGTTACTGGAAGTTCTTGGAAAACATACAACTTTTCACCCTTTTATCCACTGTTTAATTTGGTTGTTCAGTTTATCTACATTCTTCAGTCTCAATCTGGACACTCAAATTAAGGCTCCTTGTGAAAAGCATCTTTTGGCGGGTTTCTCAGACACATTTCTTATTGTTGGGTTTTTAGTTTTGGGAATTCAACAGCTATTCCTAAATAATTACTGGAAGTTGAGATCTGAGCACAATATGATTTACTCTGTAGTCCACAATTGTCCTCCTATGAAAATGCCTACGTTATTCTGTTTTATTCATAGGTTGCACACATGACGAAAAGTGAAATGCATTTGCATGACACAGCATTCATAGGTCCAGCACTTTTGTTTCTGGACCAGTATTTTAACAGCTTTATTGATGAATATATTGTACTTTGGATTGCCCTGGTAGGTATTGTACTAAGTCTTATTTCATGGTTTGAGGATTTGAAGGTTGCTTGTTTTCTTATTTTGATGAGCCAGTCATGAGAGATAGTTCATATAATTGTAATGATTTGGAATGTCAGAAATCCACATAAATGGGGATGTGTGAGAGTTCTATGACTTTATATTTGAGCCTTTTATTTTTTGCATTAATCTTACTAGTCCTACCTACATCAGGCAGGGCTCATAAATTGCAAATTGCTGACTGAGTAAAAAAGCATGAATCGGCATACTACACCCTGTGGGCCCATAGCCTGTTTTGGTAAATACAGTTTTATTGGAACACAGCTATGGCCATTCATTTATATATTGTCTTTGGCTGGTTTCATGCTACAATGGCAGAGTTAAGCAACTGTGTCAAAGACAATAAGGCCCATAAAGCTTAAAATATTTGCCATCTGTCTCTCTAACAAAGAGTTTGTATGTGAAGGAAAGATTGCGAGGAAATTGAATTATTGTTTAGAATAGAAGGTCAATCTGCAGAGAAAACAGGGGCCACTCCTCTTTACTTTCAGGAAGCTTAGGGAGAGCCTAAACGGGTGCTGAGAATGTCTCTTTTCTTTCCAGGTTTTCTCTTTCTTTGATTTGATCCGCTACTGTGTCAGTGTTTGCAATCAGATTGCGTCTCACCTGCACATACATGTCTTCAGAATCAAGGTTTCTACAGCTCATTCTAATCATCATTAATGATGTAATTGGTATTATATAGGAACACCATGTTTTCTGCAGGAAAGAATCTGAACATATTAAGGAGAATGGGGGTGGATAAGAACAAATATAATTTATAATAATCAATGTTGTATAACTTTTATTCTTTATTATTGGTAACACTCCCTAACTATTCTGTGAGAATGGGAATTTCAAGTCCCATCTTGTAAATTGTATATGTTATCATGCAGGGTTTGGGCCAAGAAAGCATGCAGAAAAAAAATGCCATGTGATTGTAATTATCCTGGATTCAGAATAACATTGTGATGGGGAGCCAGATCCACAGTGGTGGAGAGTTCTAATGTTGACTATTTGCAGGCCAAAAGATGATTGCTTTATAATTTTAACAAATCATCGTCTTTTAGTAACATCCTTGTTTAGTGTCTTCTCAAGCTTTCTTTACTAAGGAGTTCAGCTTGTGACACAGATACATCCCACTAGCTTGTGAGGTGGAACTAGTAATAAAGACCTTGAATTTGGATTGAAAGGTTTCCTATTTTTACATTGTTGAGGAAGTTCTTTTTTTTTTTTTTTTAATTGCTCAAGAAATGATTCTCTCACAGGCTTGGGAAATCCTGTTAGCATGCAGAATAATGTGGTAACTTTGTCAATTTCCCATTTTATTTTTTTAAATAAATATATGATCTGAAAGCCAACTTTTTCTCAGTTTTATTCAGTGAAAAGATAAACTAAGTTTTAATATTATTTTTTTAAATTTAAGCAAAATTTCTGTTCTTTAATAAATAAGAAAATTTGGTCCACTGCATTGTTCTAATGTGTCTTGTGACATTTCTATTTTGTAGAAACTTTAACTTTAAAAAGGAGAACTATGTTCATCTTTCCTGTCAATGGTTTTTTTGTGTTGTAGTCATCACCTGTGTAATCACTTAGAAATTTCAGACCCTTCCCCTAAATTTTCAGCAAGTGCCTGGGCCTCTCTAAGGGGTTACTTTGTACTCTTCTTTTCTGGCACTCTCCTCTTTGGTATCTGTACTATAGTTTGAAATGGGAACCAGATATGTTTCTATTTTATACAGATCATTCAGTTGCTTGAAGAAGAGGAACACAGGAGAAAAGATTTAAACTATTGGCTAAAATGAGTGTCTTATTATTGATTTTCATCTATATCCTGTCCCATAATCAGGAATAAACAGTAGCTACACTGTCTTGTATGGCAGCCAGAGCGCTCCTTGCTTGCACTTTCAATGATTCCATCCATCCTGTGTAGATTGGATTAGCAAGGAGAAGTAAACCTTTAATTTCTTTGCCAGACTATATTGGGAAATGAAAATCCATCATTACCTTTCCTTGCTAGCAATTGTTCCAATGTCTGGGATAAAGAAGTACATACAGGAAAATGTTAGGGCAGATCAAGTATTGAAAGCTAGGACAGAGCAGGACAAAGAAGGAAGGATAATTCTACTTGTTTGGCAAAGTTACATCAGTTGTCTTACTGACACATCGGGTATTATCTATAGTGGAAATTGAGGCCTGGAGAGGTTAAATGGCATGCCAGTGTCGGTTGCTATTTTTCAGAACAAAAATTAGAATCCAGATCTGAAACCTGGTGCAGTGTTCTCTCCTATACTATACTGGGCTTTAGTGGGCTAAAGCTCTAAAGCAAGATGTTGAGGGCTAATTGAAATATGTTTATTCTCTTACATTCTTTTTCAGCATAGATGGAATCTGAAAAGCACTCAGATATTTAGTGTGTGCATCCTTCAGCCCTAAATACAGCATTAGCATCAAATCAAGGGTACATTTGTAATAAGCCTCAGCAAACCTTACCTGAAGAACCTTTTAAGAAAGTACAGATTTCCAGGTCCTATCACTGGAGATAATTTGGTATATTTGTGATGAGGCATTAGAGGGTGTTTTCACAAGATTCTCAGGATTCCAGTTCCTTTTCTGAAGCCTTTGAAGGTACAACCATATTTAGGCACCACTACCATAAACTACCAAAAAAAAAAAAAAATGTAATTCCTAGAAGCTGTGAAGAATAGTAGTGTAGCTAAGCATGGTGTGTGGACAGTGGGACATCTGCCACCTTCATTAGGTCTCTGCACTTCCAAAAGCAAATTACATTGGCTTTAACTTCAATATGCCCTGTTCCACCCTCCAGAAACTTTTGTGTTCTTTTTACAGAATTTAGGAACTTCTGAGGGCCACAAATACATGCATTAAAAAGGTAGAATTTTTGAAGATAAGATTGTTCTAAAAAAGCTTCCCAATGCTTGAGTAGAAACTATCGGTAGAGTTATCAAGGGAGGGGAGACTAGGTGACCACTAAACTCCTTCAGACTCTTAAAATTAGGATTCTTTTCTCAAAGGGGAAGAATGTCAGTGCAGAGATCCCTTCATCTTTAGCTAAAGAATTGAACTGTGCTGCTCAAAATAAAGATCAGTTGGAGGTAGGATGTCCAAGACTGAAGGTAAAGGACTAGTGCAAACTGAAAGTGATGGGGAAACCGACCTACTTATGGAAGCCATGTAGTGTTCTTCACAGGCTGCTGTTGACTGAAATTCCTATCCTCAAATTACTCTAGACTGAAGCTGCTTCCTTTCAGTGAAGAGCCTCTCCTCCCAGGATTCTGGAAAGCACACCTGACTCCAAACCAAGGACTTGGATGCCCTGTGTCGAGTGCTGCTGCTGCTTTTTCCAGTATCTCTTACCCTTCCTCTTAGAAGAAGTAGAGTTGCTGCCCCCCATGATTCTATCACTCCAAACATATCCCCAGGTTCAGGACCACCATGGCCAGGTCCTCCACTTGTAGTCCACTTGATTCTCATATTCATTGCCTTATTTTCCTCATTCTCCACCCGTAGTAAAAGCCAAAGACACACATAAAAATAAGATTTTCCTCTTTACTCTCATCCTTACACGTCCACAGACTTCTTATGTGGAGAGGCTGAGCCTTTCGAACACAAAGTGTGTTCTCTGTTGAAGATGTTGTAATGATGGGAGAGGGCAGTTGCAGCAGCTTCTAATCAAGTGTCTACAACACATGTACTACTGTTTCCTACCTGTGTCACCTCTGCAAAAAAATGCAGCTCTGAGCCCAGTTCTGTGAGCATGGTGTCAGAGCCCTCCAAAGTCCTGAGAAATCGATACCAGGGATCCAAATGTCAGACACCAATTTGAAGCAATACCTGGATACCAAGACTCAGAGTGAGGTTATGGATTTGGGGGGCTGATAGCTTTGCTGATCCTGCCACACTGGCAGGGGCTGAAGTCCAGAAATGGTGTGTGGCTGTAGTCATTCTTATTCACCACAGCTCTTATTTCACAGTTTTTTCCCTTGGCTTCTTCTGTTTCTTCTGTTCCTCATATTCAAGTATTTTCTGTTGGAAATAGCCTGTGGGTTCAGATACAGGTGTTAGAGGCATCTGATCTGATCAGGCAGACTATAATGAGCTCAGGAATAAGGATCAGAAATATCCTGTCTGCTCCCCATACTCCCATCCCTGCCAGGATGTCTCTGGCCTCACAGGCTTCTGGAGATCCAAACATTCAGTTCTGTCCAAAAAGGAGCCCATAAACAGAGGATAGATACTTAGTAGGAATTAGCTCTAGACTGAAACAAAGGAAAGGGCTCAGTCCTGTTGGCTAATGAGTAAACCAGCTTCCACAAAATGGCAGCCCATTAGACATTTTCATAGGTTGCGGGTTATGTCATTTCAACTCCACTAATAAAAGTCTGCCTACACCTCTTTTGTGGGTTTCTAAAGAGAAGTATTCTTTCTTTCCCCTCCTGTTTATTCTAGAGGTAACCCTCTATGGGCTTAGACTGATGGGGACTGTCACTACCTGCAGGAGGATTCTTGCTTTTCTCAGCTTCCTGGATGAAAAGTGAGAAGAGCTGTGTCTTCACAAACTTCTTCACAAATCGGCGGTTGGTCTTGGAGGTCAGAGCCTTACAGAAGGATCGTTCTTGGAAGTGGCCTTGCCCATTTGCCTCCCGCTTGATATAGGAAGCATAATGACCCACAGTCTTGACAAAGAACTGTACAAAAGGGCCTGAAACGTGCTCGTTGATTTGTTCTGCAGCTGCGGGAGATATAAAGGCCATCTCAGAGGGTAGCAGAAGGATGAAATTACCCAAACTCCCCTCCAAGAGTGGCTTTCATGCAGGCTGAAAGCTCCTGGGGAAAGCCGTAGGGTAGGGTTCATAATTAGTGACTGAAATGGCAATCTGGGTATGGGTTCTCTGCCATTACTTAGGAAGAATACAGTCCCAAATTCAGACTTGCCCTAGGTTCTAGGCCTCTAGGGCTGGTTCTAGGACTGCTGAGTGAGTTCATTTTAGTTCTGGAAGGGAATGATTGAGAATCACGCCCTTGCACTCCCTGGAGAGACCCAAAATAAGAGTAAGGACTTACTCTTTAACTCATTGATCCCCTGACCGAGAGAGTCTAAGATGCCATCCTGAAGCTTCGGTGGCAGGATGTCTTTTTCATCACCAACCTAGAAGAGGACAGAGCTCCAAGGTCAAGCAGGAAGGAAGTGTGGAGTGAAGCAGGTTGGCAGAAAAGCATAAGGAGGGCATGAATTCTACACCCCTACTCCACCCACAAATAATCAGCCACATGGGACAGAAACAACACAAGCTGTTTCTTGGCCTTTAGTTTGACTCTAGACATTAGCAAGGAATCCTCTCCACCCCCGTGGTACTTTATTTATATCCCTTGCTTAAAAGGCACTATCACTGATTGTCTTATAGTGAAGTCATCTGTGTTTATATGTCCATGGGCTCCTTGAGAGAGATGCAGTCTTTTTAGCACAGATTCTCACTCAACAAAGAACTTAATGTTTGTTTAAATAAGTGGAAACTAGAGTGGTAGACCTGCAGGGGATCTGAACCCAGACACTTACCGACATTAAGAAGGTTCCTTCACAAAGATTGACCAGCAGGACCTGAAATAAACATAGACTGGCTTTCTCTGGTCCCCTTTCTTCAAAGACCTCTAGAGGATTTACCGTCTTGATTTCTGCCTGTGGCTGTATCTTTCAGCCCAGGTAGCAACAAAATCAATATCTTCAGTTCTCATTTCCTGTCTAGCATTCTCCTTTCTCACCATTCCCCTCTGGAAACCTCAGTTCCCTTCCTGAGGAAAGGGTGTGGGTGTTTGTAGGAAGGGAGTAGGAGAAAGAGCTAAGGTAGAAGGGAAATACAAGATGGAGAAATCACAGCCAGTCACTCCCTTAATAAAACATTGCAGAAATTGCTTCTACCTGGAGCATTTAGTAGATTGCTCACATAAGTGCTTTACACATTTGATCTCAAGCAACAGTCTTGTGAGGCAGATACCATCTCCATTTTGAAGATGAGGAAACAGACCCAAAGAAGCTGCCTGAGGTCATACTATACTGCTAATAAGAGAACCAATTTTTTTCCAAGCCTAGACTGATACTCTTGAGATGACATTCCTCTCTCTATGATTCCCCTTCAACTCCCTGCTCTCTAGAACAGAGACCAATATCTTTTTATTTTTTTTCATGCTTGCAACAACTTATGTACAATTTTCTATTAGAAAAACTCCCACCAGGCATAGTGGCTCACTCCTGTAATCCCAGCACTTTGGGAGGTCGAGGCGGGTGGATCACGAGGTCAGAAGATCAAGACCATCCTGGCTAACACGGTGAAACCCCATCTCTACTAAAAATACAAAAAATTAGCCGGGCGTAATGACGGGCGCCTGTAATCCCAGCTACTCTGGAGGCTGAGGCAGGAGAATGGCATGAACCCGGGAGGCAGAACTTGCAGTGAGCAGAGATCACACCACTGCACTCCAGCCTGGGTGACAGAGCGAGACTCCATCTCAAAAAAAAAGGAAAAAGAAAAACTCCCTCACAGCTTTGGGCCTTCCAGCAGGAAACAGCAAAGGAAAGAAATGAGCCCAGGGTCAACAGGAAGAGAAAAGGAAAGGAAGTGAGGAGACCATGTGTCTACAGTCCTCAGGTAAGATAAGCACAGGGCTGGAACTGCCCAGGGAGCCTTCAGTCTAGACCAGAGATTACAAATAGGCACCCTGCTGGCTGATTCCAACCAGCAGATCTGTTTCTTTGATCCTTACAGTATTTTTAAATAATTGATTTGGTTTCCAATATTTAAACTGGACTATCTCACATAAAATTTGGATTTGGGGCTTCTCCTGAAAAGTCAGGAGATCTAACACTGGGTCCACATTTCTAAAGGACAACACTCAGATGGAACTGAGTAGCAGTTGCCTGCTTTAGGCAGGGAATGTTCCCACCAGTTTACCGTAATTTCCCAAATCATGTGTTGGTCATTTAAATGCCTGCTGGGCCTCTCTTTTCCATTTGTGACCCTTGGTCTTGACAGTAGAGAGAATGATTCCTCCATTGTCCCTTCTTCCAAATACAAGGAAAGAGAGTGGAAAGTATGCCAAAAAATAGAGCATGCACTGTAATTATCTGTCATCAGGGGAGAAAAGTTGAACTAGTCCAGGCCTGAAACCACTTGTATACATAGGCTCAGATGCCTTCATGGAAGGAAGACTGTTCCTTTGAGGGATTGGGAGGAAAGAGTGTGTATAAATAATTTCTTTTTCAAGATTGTTCCCAGAACTCTTTCCAGTATTTGGGCATATTATTGTCTGTGGAGTAATCCCTTACCAAAAGCCAGAGTCTGACCGGCCATCAGGAGAGGAGCCACGGCTTCCAGGGAGCTGGAGCTGCAGAGTCAGGAAGTTTCATAACTTCTGGGGTTGGGACATTTAAATGTTTATTGCTAAACATGGGGCTAATACTCTGTCCCAGTTAGTCACAAAGCTAAGGCTGGTTCAAAGGGCATGTGTACTCAGCAGTCCTAAGGAAGGATGAGGGGCCAGTGGAGCAAAGAAAGGAAACACAGCCTTCTTCTTTACTTCCCAGCAATAGTTTCTATAGGAGGGGATTTGGTTTTATCTGTGCTAGGTTCCACTGTTGTCTGTGTGGCCTTGGATAAGTCTCTGGAGCTCAGTAATCTCTTGGAATGAGTCAATGGTTATGGCCAGGGCAGATATTCCCAAGTCCCTCTTCTGGCTTAAGATACAGCAACATGCTATGTTTTGAAAGTCCCTACTGATCACTCTAAAGCACATGCTTTGAGTTGTTTTTCCAACAGTGGGGATAGATTTATGCTTTTAATGCCCATTTTCACAACTGAGTCCTCTGGTTTGTCTGCGGCACTGCCAAGATGTAAGAAGCTAACAAAATGAAAAAGGATTCAGACCTGTATCCTCATTAACCCATTTAGCTCTGAGCTACTCAGAAAGATGACTTGCTGCATTCTTAAGACTCACAGTTTGCCAGAGGGCCACGTTAGCTCATTTCCAAGGAATTCAAATACATTCCAATGGGGTGTGTGTTGTATAGACCAGCTGTGTCATCCATTTGGATGAGATGGGACACCCCGAAGACTGTTCATCAGGGTCAGCTGGCATGGAACAGTGTGATCACCCTTGAATAAGCTATCCGCTGTGCCTTATGCCTAAAGGGAAATCCTTCAGAAGGGAGCCTGCGTTAATTGAGCATCAACTGTGTGTTGGGTGCCAGGTTAGGAGCTCTATGCAGGTGGTTTCCCCCAGAATCCTTAGGAAGTGACCACTGTTATCCCCATTTTAGAGATGAGAAAGCTCAGGCTTAAAGAGGTAAGGTAACTTGCCCCTAATCACACAGCTGTAAGAGCTGGGATCTGAATCCCAGTCTATCTGGCTCCAAATCATGCACTCTTCTTGCCACATCATACCTCTTCCATAGGGCTGTCCATGACCTCCTGCTGGAAGCGCATTTGTACTCCAACCATGAAGGGGGTGGGGCAGCAGACGGTGGCCAGAAGGCTCTCAGGGACAACAGGGATGTAGGTGTGCGCCCAGCTGAAGGGGTAGAGCAGCGCAGCAGCAGCATGGATGCACTGAGACAGGGTGCTGGGACAGAGCACAGAGGATGAGAGTCAGGAGGCCCCTGCACCTCCATGCTACACACCTGTCATCGCCCACCACCAACAGCAGCTACAGCAGTGCTGCCCGTGCCCATGGCAGAAAGGCAAGTCTGGGGGCCATGCTGGTCACAGAGCTTGAATGTACATTGCTGGGAGGGAGGGAGGGACAGAAACTAGAGAGGCCGAGGCTTCACTATCAAGAGGGGGACCTCAATTTGACCCTTCTTTTCCCAGTTAGTCTTCTCAACTTACTACTGGCCAAAAATAAAAGTGACTCCGAAGAGAAGAGGGAAGAAGAGTTGCTTTCATTCAAGGAGATAATTGATGGAGCCCCTAGCCTGTGCTCACAACTGTGAGCCTACATCACAGATGTGGATACCAGGAAGAGCAAGACACTGACCCTGCTTTTAAGGAATTCACAGTGTAGTTAAGAAACAAACAACTAAGTAAGCACTGGAGGCTCAGCCGAGAGGCAAGGCCTTTTTACCTCCCTATGTCTATCCAACCTCACCCCCAGCCTTTGCCCCCACACAGTCCCCTCTGGGCACTCAAGGTTATTAAAGATTACCAGGTTGCTGCCTGAGTAGCTTGGGAAATTCCCAGGTTCTAAGAACCCTTGCCCAGCAATTCCTACACGGAAAGTCCCACAAAGGTGGCTCCTCAAGACTTTCCAGTGAAGCATTTCTCGTCACTCCTGCCCAAGTCACAACTTGGACCCTACTCTCGCCACCACACACACACAGTCCCACTCTCTGTCTTCTCATTTCTCCCCTGGCTTTCATGGCTCTTTCCTCCAGCCAAATTGCCTCAAAGTCAAGGCCAATAAAAGCACAGATGCGGGAATCCTTGTTTCAATTCTGGGTTTCAAGCTAGCACTTCCTGAATTAGCAAAATTGAGTCTCTGAGAGGCTAGCTGACTGGAAGTCCCCTCCCTGGCTAAGCTTTAGGGAGCTGAAAAACTCAGTGTGGGAAGGAAGTGGGGAGTGGTAGGATTTCCCTGAAGAAAGTAAACGTCTGAGAGGTAAATCCTGCCAACCTTCACTTTCCAAACACTGATCTGAGGAGGAAAGGCAGAATCCCAGCTCTAGCCACACAGGAACTTCTGGTTTCCATTCAGGGCTGGGAGTGAAAGAGCTATTTCCAAAGCAAAATATGCCACTCCCTTCAAGGATTACCTACAACTAGTTCCTTTTTGGTTATCACCCATTTTTACAGAATCTTCAACACAGAGACCCCACTGGTTGCCCAAGTTTCCTTTCCTCTGAAACCCATGACATTCACCTGACCCTTTGACTTCTATTGAGTCCCCAACATCCTTTTCTTCCTTAAAAGATAAAAGCAGGATTGTCAACCTAAAATCATTGGTTCTCTGCCTCCCCAGATATGAACAGAAGGTCCACCCCACCCCTACTGTTTTATGACTTTTTTCATTCTCCATTCTATTACGTCTCCCCATGTCCTTCTCAGATCTGAAGCCCCTAAGAGGTAGAGACTATGGCACAATAGTACCCTGCTTCCACTACACACAGGGATATACTCAACCGTGAACTTAAGAATAGCAGCTAGCATTCACCAATATGTGCTTGGCAGGGTGTTAGGTACCTAATGTGCATTATTTCATTTAATCCTCACCACAACCTTATGAGGTAATCACAATCATTATTTCCATTTTCGAGAAGTTAAACTAACTTAAGGGGGACCTCATAGCTAAAGGTAGAAGAACTGGATTTAGACCTCCTAATTCTGCTGATTTCAATCCCTGTGCTTTCAACCACTATATAATTCTGCATCCCCTTCAGGTGAAGGGAAGTTTGTATTTCCCAATGCTTGGCATCTGGCAAACAGTTGACACAGAATAAATGTTTGTTGAATGAGTATCTACCTCCTGCCCTGTTCTCCACCCTCCCTCAGCCTTGCAAGGGCAGAATCATGTCTACATCCACCCTAACTGGTCCCACCTGAGCTGTCCCAGGAATACTTCCTGTCCTTCCCTTAGCTAAGTCAGGAGCATTCCTCAGGCCCAGGCAGCAGCCCTGTGTGGAGGAAGAGGCAGTGGGGGTGGTTCAAAACAGCTGTTTCTCTTGGTTTAAAGAACAAGGAGCTAGAAACAGGAGGGTGGGCACATGGGCCCTACAGCCCATTTTCCTTGGATAACCTCCAGTCTGTTCCCTTGAACTCAGGGATGCTGGGCAGTTCAGGTGAGCAGTTCAGGGGCTGGGCCCACCTGAGACCTTCCGCCAGGAAGATGATTTTTCTCTCCAGCACAGCAGAGGCAAAGATCTGAAGTATCTGTTCAAAACTGAGACAGTGCAATAGAGAACTAAAATCCACATGTTCTAGGTGGGAGTCCAGGGGCCGTGTCAGTGAAATGAACTGTGGGGAAACCAGAGAGAGAGAAGGTGTTACTACACTGCAAGATCGTGCAGACCCCGGAGTGCTGGGCCTCTACCAGCCTCTATTCCTTCCCCCAGGAGTGAATCTGACCCTGTCTCTCTTTCCCCTGCTAATTGGCTGGAGGACAGCATTGATGTGATCTCGAGTATGGCCCATAACGTCCCGCATCCTCCCTCACTCGCCTCCCTGAGCACACACCCCTCTCTCACTGCGCTTCAGCACATGGGCTTCTGTTCCTTGAGCAATTCTATCTTTTCTGCCTGCAGCCTTCACTGTGGGGGCCCTCCTCCTGCACTGCTCTGCTCCCTTCATTCTTACCTTCTTTCAGGTCACAGAGGCCCCACCTTGGCCGCGTGATACTTTCCCATCTTCTTCTTATGTAGCACCCTGTTTTTATTTTTTTCCTTTCATCCCAGTTACATAATTTCCAAGTCAACATGCACTGGTGTGTTTATTTAACATCTATCTTCCCCAGTGGACTTATAGCTCCAAAAGGTCAGGGACCACATTCATTTTGGTCACCACTGTATTCCCAGAAAATGATATAGTTTGGCACACAGCAAGCATTCAGTACTAATTTTTCTAGAAAGTGAAAGTTTCTAGCTTCTCCCCTTATTTTCCTGTGGGGAAGCCAAGTTTAAAGGGGCACAGAGACTATTCAGAGCTCCAGGGGTCAGGACTGGAATTCTCAGAACGGTGTTGTACCTGCTGCCTCAGTGTGCTTGGTGCCTTAAAACAATAGCATTCCCCCATGCATGGGTGGAGACTCGGGGGTGGGGATGGATGATAAGAAATGGACAGATGGAGGCTGTAAGGTAGAGACAGGACAAACAAAGGAGAGTGGATTGGGCGTGGGGGCAACTGGCAGTCTGGGGGCTGAGGGAAAAGCCCTTTATAGCACCAGAAGCCTCAACTTACATGGTTTATTTATTATAAATAAAAGTCTTGGTGGCTTGAGCAGTAACTAGGTGCTTGTGGGTATCAAGTTAGAAGGATCAGAAAATTTGAGCTTGATTTCAGCTTTGTTCATTCTAACCAAGTCCTAGTCCCCATCTTGCTCAGTTTTTCTGTACTTTAACCTGGTTAATGGAAGAACAGTGGTAAGAGCTGCCACAGATGCCTACCCTCTCCAGCTAGGGACGGTCTCACCCATTTTGCTAACCCACCTCAGTGCCTGAGTCGGGGATGAAGCTCTTGAGAGTGACAGTCTTCCCAGGAGCAGGGAAGGCTGCCTCTCGGAGGCCCTGCATGAACGGGTAGATGACAGCCATGGAGATCTGATGTCTCTTCTCCACTTCATCCAGGATCTGCAGAGAAAAGAACCACGGGAGGCACGGCTCAAAGGGACATTATCGGGCAGGTGGCAGAGACTCTACATGCCCCAGAGCGTCATAATGTTCCCATACTGGTTCAGCTGGTCCTCATGTATCTTCTAGGGCCCTCCATGAACTGGTCTCTCCCTCTCTGGCAGAGGCTGGGCTCATGCTAAATAATCTGCAGTTTATGTCCCATGTAAGACCTGCTTTTTTCCTGCTTCCTTTTTATTATCTCTCTATCAATCCATATTCTTCCCCTCTCTTAACACCAACATAAAAGCACCTCCCTGGGAAGTCATCCCAGAGTAAACTCACCACCCATGATGGTACCATGTCCACTCATGCTGGTTGCAGCAGGAGGCTAGAAGCCTAAGCCTCTTGGTACCACTCTGTCCTCCAACTCCCACAATAGATTCCCGGGGTCAGAGACTGCCTCCATCCCTAGGAACACTGCACAAAGGAATTCTTTACCCAAGCAAAAACTGACAGAGTTTCCTCCCTTCCTCCTCCTAAGGTCCTGCTGGGGTCAGAGCATAATTAAGTCCTTTCTGGTCACCAATGGATGGCATGGCCCCCATGGATTCTGCTCAAATCCTGACTCAGATGCACTGGCACTCAAATTAGCTCCAGCAGAAGTCCTGGGGACCTCAACTATTCTTCTACCCTTGAAGGAGTCAGAATGGGTCTTATAACTCCTTCATATTTGTTTAGTGCTCTGCCTTTTATAACGAGTCTTCCCATATATCACCTCATTTATACCTCACACCACCCAGTGAGATAGGAAGGTGAGATTATTATATCCATTTGACAGATGAGGAAATTGAAACTCGGGGCAGAAGTTTCTTCCCCTTGTCCTACTTCAACTACTTTCTTACCTGGCTAGAGCGGGAACAGTAGCTGTCTCTGCAAGGAGTCCAGTCCCCTAGATTCAATTTCCACTTTTCCCTTAAGTCAAGTGCATGCCCCTTTGCCTCAGTTTTCCCAAGTGTACTTTAAAGCTGATTCTGGCTATGGGAGAAGAGCTCCACTAAGGGCTTAGGTTGCACAGGCAGGGTTGGCAGCCAGAGAGAGCCTAGAAGATGGGCAGGACAAACAGGCCCTGAGGAATCCTGTTCCATCCCTACCTTGGAGAACAAGCCGAAGCAGCCGATGCAGCTGATGATGCAGTACACTTTGGGAAGGCGAGGGCCAGGGCCGGCAGGCTGGGGAGGGACAGAGAGGCTTCTTCAGTGCTGCAGCCTCCCCAGGGGTTTCTCCCAATTGGTATGAAGGAGCACAAGGCTGAGGGCTGGGGAGGGGGAATTTATGGGGAATGGTGGGTGCAGCAGGGAGGTCAGAGTGGTCACCAGGGTCAAAAGAAGAAATCCTTGAGGGTACTGGGTGAGTTGGTGGGCAAGTGCTGCCACCTTCAGTGCCAACACAATCTGGGGTCAGCAAAGAGGGGAAGCAAGTGTGCCTTAGAGATGAAGAAATGGCTAAGGAGGAAAGCACTGTAAAGGTGACTTGGGGAATCCTTCTGAGACTTGAGATTTGAAACTAACTGTCCAAATCCCAGCCTCTGCTCTGGGAGGCTCCAGGGTCCAAGGTAAGCAGGCCTGGGTAGAGCAGCAGGGAGAGGAGTCAGTTGGAGCCTCTCACAAAGAGGAAAGTTATCAAAAGCCGGGGAGAGCACAGACCAGAGCCTGACCAGCAGGGGGAGAAGAGGCATCAGGTCCTCGTGCTTGTGGGGCTGCAGAGGGAGCACTAGCATGGCAGAAGGTCCTGGGCTGTGCTTTCTCTACAACTGGTGCTGCCAACAAGCCTGGACTTTTACAGCTAAGGCTTGAGCAAGCCCAGCCATGGAGCTGAGCAGACTGCAGAAAGGAAGGGGCAGTTCTGAGCTGCACAGACCAAAAGGCGCCTGCAGTATCCAATCTTTCTGCTCCCATCCACATTGGTCAGAACGAAGGAGAAGGTCTCCCTAAGAAAGAGCAGACAAGGCTTGATTTGCATTGCTCGCTGGATTCTAAAACAGGAAAGTGGTCAGGATTAGAGGGTGGAGAGGAGGGCAAAGCGGAACTGCTGATTAATCATAGGAGTAAGGGCTCACTGGTGTCGAGCCCTAAACACATCATCTCATCTAATTGTCAAAACAACTCTTTGAGGCAGGTTCAGTTATTATCCCCACTTTAAAGATTAAGGAACTAAGGCCAGAGGGTGCTTCTTATTCAAGGTCACTCAACTCATAAATAGTGAAGTCAAAGCTCAAGCAGTCGAATTCCAGGGCTCATGCTAGAAGGGTCTTTGCTACATCGCCTTCTTAGAGGCTAACTGCTTTCTGCTAAGTCCAGCTTGGGCCAGCAGCAGAATTAAAAGCAGCAACTATTGCTTCTAAGACAGGTGGGAGAATCTAGCTCTTTGGACAGAAGTGCCTGATCAAACTGATAGCTAATATCCTTGGCCTTGAGGGACCCCAGGCCAGATGTTCTCAAATGAATCAATTACACTCCTGGGCTGAAAATCAACAAATGACAACAGTGAGGGAGGCTACAGGAGCCACAGAACTCACACGTGTTCCTTCTCTCCAAAACCAATACCCTTGCCCAAGGCTGAGCAATTACCTGGGATACTCGGTGAGTGATGCCCACTCATTCCCATCTGGGAAGCAGAACAAGGGGATAGCTTTGAGTAGCCGCTCCTCCTCCTCCTGTTGACCCCGAAGCAGGTTCTCCCGCTATAAGGAAAAGGAAAAGACAAGTGGATGTGAAGCTGGGGGCAGAGGTAGGAGGAGAGGGCTTCAGAGCTGGTGGGTTTCCTTTGAGGCTCTAAAGCAGTCTAGGGATAAGCTTCTCCACTAGCATAGGGGCAAAGATGCCTTTGCCCATCAATCTACACAGTTTGCATTCTGGATCTGGTTGGAACAACTCCAAAGCTGAAACAGCCCCTCCTCAGTCAACTCGACATAAGCTTGACTTCGACCTCAGTATTGAGGATCTACATAGAAAGCGGACAGGGCCATGTTGAATATGGAAAGGCCCTGAAATGACCCAGGCCTCTGAGAGGACAACATCAGAGAGGCACCACATCAGAGAAGAGAAGCGGCCAGCTCAGTTGGCACACCTCCTAATGAGAAGGGTTAATGAGGATTCCCACCCCTGGTGCAGGATCAGACAAGAAAGAGTCTGATGCTTGGGCTTGGGCAGAGGACTGTGCCTGCCTACCAGTTACATGGCTGCCCCACTCTTTCCTTCCCACACATCCCAGAGAGGGGATTTATTCTAGGAGGTCTGGCAGAAGGTAAGCTTCTCTACAGAAAAGGGTGACTGAAAATGGGATTTGGAAGACCTATGAGGTCCCCTAAAAGGCAAAATATCTAGCCTAGTTTCCCTGCTAGGAAGCCTAGGTCAGTCCCTCACAAAGAAGTTAGACCTAGATTCTGTGGGTGATAACAGAGAACTGGGGCTGTGCTAAGAAGGAAATGGAGAGCAGCGAGCTCAGAGCTCAGGGCAGCTCCAGGTTCAAGCCCTGGTAGGGTGGGGAGAAGGAGGTAGAACCCCCACCCCTACCACCTTCCAAACACCCCAGTCCTCTGACTGGCCCTGCCCCTCCTTCAGTCCTTACCTTGGGAAATTGATAGGTGATTATAGGCTCGTAATCATCCTGTGAACGCTTTTTTTTGAGAGAAACCACAAGAAGGTATTCAAAGAAGTGCTGCCCCCCAGCAAAGTTGGGCAAAGAGTGCTCCTGGGCCCTTTCTGGTTCCTTTAAAGCTTCCCCCGAATTGTCCTGGGGCGGTCCTGAAACCAAGACACCAGAGCCCATTTAGTATAATCTCATTGATCCATTCCTGGAGTGGAGTCTGTAAGAATCTGGGTGACCTACACACCTCAAGGCCACCTTGCCAATGCTGAGATACCTGGATACTGGCCAGCACCACCAGTCACTCAGGATCAGGGCCAAATGGGCAGTTTCCACACCTGCCCTGATAGACTTGAAACCATGGGGAACCAAGCAGAGGAAAGAAAACACTGACGCAGAAGCCACGGAAATGTGCTGGAGAGGCCGCTTGGAGGCCAAGGCCCCAGGGTACCACAGACACTGCCTAACCTGTCAGGTGCTTCTGGCAATCCTGGAACAATATGGCCTGAGAGTTTAGTTCATACTAAGTGAATAAGAACAGGCACAAAGGGCATGTGACTGTGACCACACTAGCCCCACAGAGGGCATGACCAGTTCTTAAAAACCAGCAGAGGAAACCTCCTGGCCCAGTCACATGGGGAACCATGTGGAGGCCGAGATATAAAGTAAGAGGAGGAAGGAGTATTTCAAAGAAGAAACAGTCCCGCCTAAGAGGGTCACCCTAAAAACAAGGAAGTGGGCAGTCCAGTCCTAACCTGCTCGACGTCGGAAGAGCCTGAACACCCGGCCTACCACTTGTCCTTCCATCTCTGGGCCTTCAGGACACAGCGGACTCCCCTCTCCCCTAACACAGACAGACTGGTGACAGAAAGCCTGAGAAAGGGGCTGCTTCAGTCTCCAGCCACAACTCCGTGAAGCCAAGCCACGCACTGTCTTCCAGAGAAGGGAGAGAAGTTTCCATCCTGTGCACCCAGTAGTTGAGCAAGAAGGATGTGACGGGGCCCAGGAAGGCAGCAGCAGCCAGCACCAACAGAGTCAGCATCCTGGCACTGCAGTGCAGATCTCAGCTCCTCCCAAGGGCCTCAGGGTGTGGCGAGAGAAAAGGTCAAGAGCAAACACCTCTGGCTGAAAGAAGCCAGAAAGGTCTGGCTACTTCTGGGCTAAGGGTTTTGAATCTGGGCTGCAGATTGTGCAGAGAGTTTATTTACAATCTTAGAACAGTGGACAACAGTGGATAGCATCAGACTGTGGGCAGTGGAAACTGGCTGGTCTCAGGATAGGGATCCTATATCTCCATCACTTAGATTGCTGACCTTTCACTTCTCAACTTGGTCAATGGAAGTCAAAAACCCCAGCAGGGCCACCTGCTGAATTCTATAACTTCCAGGACTTCCCAACCTAGAGCACATGCCCAAACACTCTCTGCAGCCGGGATGCCACTGTCCTCCCCTGATTGAGATAAATAGACTTGGCCTAATAATTATCCAAATAGATTAATTCTTACAACAAAAGAAAGAGTTCTGGAAGTCAATATCCAATAGCCTCCTTTCCTGATGGTGCAGTGAAAAGCAAAATCCATCTCTAAGCCCAGAGTTCGTGATATTTTGGAAATAGCTACAATGGCGAATTTCACCCGCTGGAGAGTTCTGTCACTGGCACTTGTTCCAGGGTTCCAGCAGAGTCCCTCTTCTCAAATAGGAAGCACTAGCTCAGGAGACTGTCCCCAGCTCAAGGTAGGGGACTGACTGCACCAGCAGCCTGAGGGTGATTCTGTGGCAGTGGTGATCTCCACCCAACCCCCACACCTGCTCAGCCTTCCTCTGGATCAGGCCAGGCCAGCCGTACTGCCCAAGCTACAGGCAGAGCTGCTGGCCCACTGCTGTGTCTGGAGGCTAGGTAAGAGAGAAGGAATAGCAAAAAATCACCTTGGATTCTCACAGAAACCCCTGAATGAGTAAATGCAGAGAAAGCTTTTGCCAGGAAGCTGTCTCAAAGGGAAAGCAGGGGGCAAAAGGGGTTGGCGCCAGTGTTTGCCACTCCTACTAAGAATAAGCAGCCTTCTGGAAGAGAGTGGGGTGCCAGGATAGGGAAAACAGCTGCTTTGCTTCTAAGAGCTCTAGACCTGGCTTCTGTGGGACTAGTAAAAGCCAGGACTCATGGCCAAACTCATTTACAGTAAAGAAAGATGTTCAAATGCTGTAGTGGGTGAGAAGAGCAAACCAGAACACTTGGAGCTGGCACCACACCTTACTTGCAAGCTACACGGACTTGTTGCACAAGCCTTACCACCTGTCTAAGGAACAAGCATCTTCCTGATACAGATGGGGACACTGAGGCATAAAGTAATTCAAAGGCTATTAAAATTGGCAGGATTTGTTGGGAATGGGGATTAGGAAAGCTCTACATCCATGCTCCTGCCTTCTGGATGCATTTGACATCAAATATCCCACAGAGGTTTTCAAAGGACATTGAGAAACAGAATCTTGTCACTGACATTTCCAGATTCTAACGAAATTATGCCTTTCCCTAAAGCCTTTGGGCTGTATTTTCAGATCATTTTCATCTGCTTTATCAGGAAAGCCAAGAGAATAGCAAAATTAATAAATCATTGACAAAAGAAAGTAATTAGACTTTTGGGATGAGGCCCAAGAAATGCAGCAAAAGACTGTTTTCTCCCCTCTTTCAAAAGGGGTTATCCACAGGAGAGAAAAGCATAAGAGAAAACTAACCTCCATCAAACTCATGTTTCATATAAGGTATCTCATTTAACCTCCAGTGCCCTAGAAAGGAATTATTTTCCTGAGTTTTAGTTGAGGAGGGAGTCGCCTTTTCTAGAGAAGTCAGGAATCTGGTTACACTTGTTCCTCCACCAGAAAGCCTCTCCCACAGACACCTGACTGAAGTCCCAGATCTGTCCAGAATATAGGTGAGGGGACCTTCTGGAACCTTGATCTGGGAAGTTGGCCCATCCCTTCCAGCTCAGGTGCTCTCAAGCCAGGACCACCACCACATCACTCCTTGTCACCAGGATACACACACACACACACACACACACACACACACACACTCCCTCCTAATACGCAACTGTCCTGGGGCCAGAAAGGCAAAGAGGAAGGGGGAGAATCCCCAGGCAGGTGGAGGATGGTATGGAAGATGAACAGGACACACGCTCCTGGCCAAAAAAGTATTAGGCCTCAGTTCTTACAGTTTCTCAGTATCAGGAAGCTCCTTCAGGCACAATCAGGAAGTGCCTGGTGTTGGGGCAGGGGTAGGTGGGAACAACTGGAATGTCTCCTCTGGGCTGCAGGGGGCAGACCCCTTCCATTCACACAGATGTCTCAGGGTCTGGGAAGACCAGGACAGACCAGGCCAGTGCTCTCCAGAGAAGACAGAATGTTAGCCTCATCCTGCCCTCTGCTCCCACCACTGCATGGTCCCAGGCCTCTGCCCCAAACTGTGGTTTCTGACCTCTCCCTGATGGTGCAGCTGGAATGGCCAGATATTGGAGATCTGTGTCTAGAGAGGACACTGCAAAGGGGGCAGGGTGTGGCAGGAGGAATGGCAACAGGATGAAGAACAGAACACTCATAGAGGTCACTGCAGTTCAAAGAAGGGCGCACTGACTTCACTCCCTAAGGTCTTCCCAACTCTGGGGCTTGGGCTAAGAGAGGGGCTCACTTGGCCTCCTTGGTGTGCCAATGTTGGAAAGGGCAGGCTGTCTGGGAATGGCCCCTGCTCACTTTCTAATCCACTCTTTGCTCCTCAGACGGTAGGACTTCTAGGCAAAGTATCTAAGGGTCATGGCTGCTCAGCCATAGGACTGGCTAGTGGTAAGTCTTACAAATATTTGCCGAAGGAATGAATAAATGAATGAATTTCTAACTGCTCTACTTCCAACCCCAGAGCTCTGCTAAGAAAGAAAAGAAGCTGCTGCTTTAAATTAGCAGTTGACTTCTAATTTAATCCCCATAATCCTGGATGGGGGAATTATGTCCGTTTCACTGTTGCGGCGCTGAGGGAAAGGGAAGGGGTGCCCCGTCTGGGCGACACGCTGGAAAGCAGCAGCTGTGCAGGTTCTACCCCCGCTCCGCTGGAGGCCGCACTCTGAAGGGCACCTGGCCGCAGGTGGGTGGGGATGGTAACGTCATCGAGGAGACCTGTGTTTGTGGCCGGTGGCTATCTGCGGGGCAGGGGCAGGGCCGCTGGCTCCGAGGAACTGGGCAAAGGCCACGGAGGAGTCCCAGGGCGGCGAGATGGGATGGGGCGGCGGGCACGCCGGGAGCTGAGGCAGTGCCTCTGGGAGGGCACCACAACCGGGGCGCTTTCAGGCACACTGCGGTTGCACCACAAGCTTCCTGGATGGAAGGACACGTGGCCCCGGGGCCCCACAACGGTTTCCTGTGTCCCGCCGCCTCCCCCTCGCCCCCGCAGGCCTGGCCTCGCCGTCGTGTCCCGCCCCCGCCCCCACCTGACCCTCTTCCCCTCTCCCCGCGCTCCCTCCCGCTCACCTGCCCCCGCGCAGCCTCCTGAGTCCCCCTCCAACTGCTCCCGGATCTCGACGCCCCGTGCCGCCCTCCCCCGGGCCCCAGCCGCCGGCTCCCCGGTGCCCACGCCGTCCCCGCGCGCTCTCCCCGGCCGGCACTAACCCCCATGGCCGCGCTTCAGTCTCAGGCTGGCTCGAAGGCGGCGGCCGAGCCCATCCATGGCCCCTCGAGTGCCCGGCGCCCGCTCCCAGCTCCGCGCTGGCCCCGCCCCCCTATCCTTGACCTCCTCGGGTCCGACACTTTCACTTTCACGCGGGGGGAGGCCTAGGGGACAGGTTCGGGGCGGCGCGCCGCACCTTCCGGGCTCCGGCCCAACCCCCGGGCGCACCTGGGCGGGCCCGCTCTGCCCTCGCCCTGGGCAGGGCGGCGTGGGGTGGCAGAGGGCGCTCGACGCGCGTCCGGGACTGGGCGGCGCCACCTCGTTCCCACCCTCCGTGGGGCTCCCAGGGAGGCTTGACTTAGCTACCCCCTACAGTCCGCAAAAGCGCGTGTCCTGGCTGAAATCACCGCCTTCCAGGTGGCTCCAAACGAATCCCAAAAGAGAGTTTTCAGTCCTCACACCTCTCCAATCCCTCCACCTCTCCCTTTGCCACTGCTTTAGCCCCTCGACCATCTCCAGGTCTCTTGCCCTACTTGTCCTCTCACTCTTGCGGTTCCTCAGGAGGAACTGGAGATGCGGATTAGGGAGTTGACCCTGCCTTCCATTCAAACTTGGCCTTGAACAGACCAGCAAAATGGGGGTAACCCCTCCCATTCCACAGAAATGTGAAAGTTCAGGAATATAGAAAACTTTTTGTAGGTTATTACATAATACAAATTCAAGGGACGGTTATTGTCATAATTGTTGCAGTAGTCCCCTCTCCCCTTCTAATCCTGAGTTTCAGTGCAGCCTTTCCGCTCCTCCCTTTTCACATCTTCATTAACTTGCAAATATGTCCAGGCTTTAAACTTCAGGTATCAACCATGACATTGTGGGTCTGCTAAGCCCACTTCCTCCTGGGAGATTTGCCCTAGTTCCCTGCTCCCTCTCAGAACATTTTCTGTAGGGCTGGAAAGTGCAGAGTCCATCTGGGGTTGCCTTGTTTACAAGGTTTTAGGGTCCGTTTCAGGAGGGGTGGGCACAGGGAAGAAGGTACTCTGGCAGAAATACATCTGGGATCTGTGGGCCTGACTCCCAGACCTACAGCCCTCTTTCCTCTCCTCAGGCATGGCCTCCGGGTGACTCTCCAGTCACCACGGGTGAGCCAGAATTGGTTATCCAGCCCTAGTATTAACTGTCTAGTCTTAGCCCAGAGGTTCTAAAAGTTGACTTTACTCTGGCCATATGCAATTTTGCACTTAATTACAGTCTGTTGCTGTTCCCTATTCTTTGTGTATTCCCTTCCCTTCCCTAAGTACCTTTTGTGGGCTGAATCCATGTCTTACGCATCTCTGTGTAATAACAGTCGTTGCTCATGATAAACTTGTCCAATTGATTGAATATTATTGTGCCTTAACTTCCCCAGTCTATTTTGTGGTGTTCCCAACCAAACTAACTCCCTTTCTTTAAAAACAGATGAAGAAAACTGTGTACATGTGCACCAAAAAGATAAGTACAAGAATGTTCAAGGGGGTCTTATTGAAACAGACTCACACTGGAAATAACCTCAAATGTCTATTAATAGTAAAGTGAGTGAATCACAGTATATTCACATAATGAAGTACTACATAGC